AGCGTCTTGGCCACTTACTCGTGGGACAAATAATTCAAACTCTGCCTCAGTTTCCTCATCTTTGAAGCAATAATAATAATTCCTGCCTCCTTGGACTATTGTAAGAATTAAATGAGTTAATTTATGTAAAATTCTTGGATCCATACCCGGCACAGAGTAAGCGCTCAAGCGATGTTCATTTTACCAGTAGCATTATTGGAATATAAGATAATATGTTCTGACTTTACATCTTCAAAAGACATTTCTTTTTGTTTCTATGCCCTCGGTATCTCAAATACCAAATTAGCTCAAGTTGCTACTCTGTGCCTGCAAAGACATGCATGGAATAAACCCTGTTGAAGATTCCTGGAATTGTTTGTATTTCTGGAATTGTTTGTATTGTAGTTGTACAAATAAATCACACAGCATATACCGAGATCCTTATCTCAATAGCCAATGGCAGAATTCTTAAGACCAAAGTGCTCTCTATAGGTTCATAGATGGTTTCTTCATAGATTTATAGACGGTTTACAAGATTTTATGGTTTTATCTTAGAGAAAAGTTACTAAAGACTAAATGAAGAAATGAGTGGAATAAGGAAACCAAGTCAGTTATAGCATGATTGGAAAACCCTCCGTTGTTTTCCTCCTGCAACCCCTTGTCCTGAGGGAGACACAGGTGAGTCTCCCAGGCACATCCCCTCCATTTATTCCAGGGAGGCTCTTGGCCCTGTTTAGACTCTCTTCTCAGCAAAACTTGGCTGCAACTTATGGAGCCACTGCTGACTCCTGCTTCCTGGGCCCTTTTTGCCTGACCTAAGAGCTGGTCTGTGTCCACTATGTCTTAGTATGCCACAGGCAAAAAGCGAGGATGGAACCAGGAGAAAAGCATGAAGAAGGAGTTTGCCTCATTATGGGTTTCTTCCTAATAAAGCAGTGCTTCTCAACATAAGCACTACTGACACTGTGAACCAGCTAGCTGATTTGAGGGGACTCTGCCCACTACATTTCAATAGCACACACTCTCCAGCTGACTGGGACAACCACAACCAATTCCAGAGGAGAGCCACTGCTTTCAAGGTCAGCTATAATCACAAGCCCATTTTTATCCAGTACCTTGACCAAGAGTTCAGCAATGAAGAGGACCTTAAGTGCCACCTCCAATGCAGCCTGTACTGACCACCAAACTACCCAGAACCTGAAGTGAACACTCAAAAGCATAAAAATAAAAGCAACCCCTCTGCCTATGGTGTAAGGCAGAGTAGCGTAAATTTATTTTGGTTCAAATCATGGATTTGTTTAAAAAAAAAAAAACACCTCAATTCCAGCTGAAATAAAGTGGTTTTTTTTACCTAAAGTCAATGTATTAGAAATAAAAACTAATTCCATAAGTGAAACAGCAGGCTTTGAATTTTATTGTGTTGTTATTTTTTTCTGTAGTCATAATTTTTGTACCAAAAACATATAGTCTTCAAGGTACATCTTGAAGGAGATACCATTAGTTATCTTTAAAAACTTGCCTTCCTTAGCTGGGCATAGTGGCACATGCCTGTAATCGCAGCACTCTGAGCCAGGAGGATTGCCTTGAGTTCAAGGCCGGTCTGAACTACACAGAAAGACCCTGTCTCAAAAAAAAAAAAAAAAATCAATCAACTAACCAATCTTTTAAAATAGGAACATACTGTATATTTCATAGTTCTAGTGATCTAACAGCCACTGAGCTACTTTTTTTCCTAAACAATTCTGTTCTCTCATAACTGCAGGCAGTATTTTTATGTTCTACTCACAAACTCAGTTCTTTATACTACTTTGATATATACATAGTTCATATTTAAAGTTCATGGTTATGGACTTCACTTATGTCTATTATTTCTGTAGAAATTAGATCATAGCAGAAATACACATAGACAAAATTTAGGTGATATATCTGAGTTCTAAGTGATTTGTACTGTAAAGACTATTTTAATGCAAATGGACAGAATGGAATAAGGTGTATATTACCTTCTGTACTCTAGAATACTTTAACTTTACATAAATCACTGAGTGGAATTTAGAACTTCAAAATTATCACTGAACCTAAAATATCAGATGCTTTTAAGATGAAATGATGCCAACTACTGTTGTGTTTGCTTTAGTTCTGACAAAACTTAGTCTAAATATGAGATATTTTGTCTAGTTTGAAATCTGACTGCTTTTTCAATGTTTCCTTGATTTTTCATGTCTAGTCTTAAGGAAAATAATCACATGAAAAAGGAGCCCCTTTATGAAAGATATATGTTTGTATTTTTCATATTCTCTTTCTGTTCTTTTGCATTTTCAAGAAGTAATCTTGGCATACTTGGTCATTGCTGAGAGAGTAAGTTTTATGTATTCTTACAACCAAAAATGGTAAATACATGAAATAATACACGTTAAAGAACCAAAATTAGCCATTCCGCAGTGTTTATAAGTTTAATATATATTACTTTTGTCTATGAAAAAAGTAATCTTGGCAGATATTTCCATGGGCTACAATAATGTTTTTATGTTTATAATTTTTTATGTTTATAATTTTTAGAAAATGTTTTCTTCCTTTGATTTTTACATGCTTATGAATGCCCTATCAACAAATGCTGGGACAACTAATAGGCAATCACCAGATCTGGACAAATTTTACATGACAACAATAAATTCACTTTGCCATGTGCTAAATGTAACACTATGTCAAATTATGTGCATATATTTTGTGTGTATGCTGTTTTAGTTAATTTTATTTTAATTAACAAATCATAATTGTATATATCTATATATTATTTTATGTAATGGTCATAAAGACACGAGTTTATTAAATATTTCTGGTCAGAATTATCTTTGTATTACTTTTTATATCTGCTATTGTAGCTCCTTGGACAGTGAATGTTTTGGGAATAACTTATAAGTGAAAAGTGTGTTGGTTGACAATAAGTATTTACTAATGGATCCAAAAGTTTGCTAGACTTAATGAGTAAAAGGCTAGAAATAATAATACCATTTAAAAGAAGAGGATAAGGGCAGAAGTAGTAAGAAGGGAAGGCTATAGTCTCTATCTCAAGATCGGGTTGAAGCCATATGACCTCTGGAAATATTGGGCAATGAAAGGGGAGAGAGCAGTCGCATGTAATCAGGGCAGATTATCATCATGTGTTACAGTAATTCAGAACTGAGAATGGTTATTAGGACCTGAGATTAGAGGAACTGCATGGACAGTTAAATTATGTGAGCCTCAAAGCAAATTAGGATTGGATTTGGTCTTATGCAGGTTACTGAGCTTTTAGTTAGAACAGATGGCATTCCAGATATAAGGACAAGTGTGAGAAAAGTGCAATCAGAAGCTTCCAGTGTAGTGAATATATTTTGTCCCAGAGTCTGAATGTCCCCCTGTAATTCTGACATAGAGTTTTCTTACACTTTTTAGAAAAAAATATTGTTTGTATTGCTGTCCTTTCTCATCTGAAATCAGAAAGCACGAAGGTATTTTGGGGTTAAAGGGAACAAACTTAAGATATAGTGTGAGAAGTTAGTATACCTGGTATTCACTTGAGACACATGTTGTTTGTCTTGCCAGAGATAGAAAAGAACTATTTTTCCTATTTACTCTGTTACGTAAGTTTACTAGATGTCTTGGTTACTTTATTCTCATTGCTGGGACAAAATACCTGACGTCCAAAATTAAGGAAGGAAAGGTCTATTTCACTTACAGTTTGTGGAGGTTTCAGTCCATACTTGGCAAGTTACAAGGCAGAATGGCACATGGCAGAGAGCTACAGCTCATGGCAGCAGAACACAGCAAAAGCAACAAGCACTAAAAGGGAGGAATGGCCACAAGCAGCCTCTTCCTCTCCCTTACATATGCAAACTGTCCACCCCAGGGCAGGTGTAGCTCTCACACCCATAATCAATCAAACTCTAAAAGCCCGGCCCATGACCGCTTGAGGCTTTGGGGGGACACAGAGACACAAACCATAACACTAGACCACACTTAGTTATACAAAAGAGGATTACAAAACAGGTGTTCATGCTGCATACCTATAAGCCCAGCTACTCAGAAAGCTAAGGCAGGAAGATCACCTGACCCTGGAGATTAAAGCAAACCTGGGCAATTTAATGATATCCACCTTGGGGGAGGGGTACAATGAAAACTATCAGCAAACTCAGCCGTATTTTATTTGTTGGTAGTATATATTTCTGCATATCTTTTGATATAGATACTCTTTATTTCAGTGGTCCTGGACCTATAGTTAGCTTTCCATTACTATAACAAAATTCCTGAAATTATCAATTTGAAAAGAGACAGGTTTACTTTGGTTCTCACTTTAGAGAATTTATTCCACACTCTGTTGGTCCCATTGCTTTGGGCCTGTGACAAGGCAGTACTTCATGGCAGGAGTATATGGAAGAGGAGTGTGCTCACTTCTGGGTCCACAGCCTTTCAAGGTCCAGTGACCTACAGCCTTGCCCCAGGCTCTGCCTCTTCAAAGTTCCCAGTTCTTTCTAATAGCACCAAGCTGAGGAGCACGACTTACTTAATCTATGGGCCTTTGGAGGACATTCTTGATCCAACAATAGCACAGCCTTTTCCCACCTTCTAGCAACTGTTTCTCCTTTCCTTTGTCCAGAGTTGCCATGGTGACACACTACCATCTCTCATATATTCTGAGGAGGGGTGGGAGGACTTGGGAGGACTTGCATCAGAATCCCAGAGAGGCATGTAGGATATATATGGTTTGAAAGTTCCCCTTGGAACTGTTGGCATCTCCAGTTCTCTGTGCCTCTGTACCCTTTGCTATATAATAATTTTCATATGTAAAATAAATTTTATATTTCTAGTTCCCAGTCTCATTTGATTTTTTTCTGGAATATTAATAATACATTGGATTATCAATAAATTGGAATAAATGATCTCCCTTTAATAACTTAATTTTAAAAATTCTTTATTTTTTCTTTATATATCTCTTCCAACTCTCCAACCTTGTTTTGTTTTGTTTTTTTTTTTTTTGGTTACAGTTTCGTGTTTTAGATCCCAAAGTCCAAGAGTGAGGAATCCATTCAGTCCCACCAAGTGCTGAAGCCAGAGCTATCTGATTGTGCTTCTCAGATCAGTCTGCAGCTAAGTCATAGGAAACCTTGCTTGGATGACGTGAATTCAGCAGAAGATAGCAGCAGTGCCAAGTGTGTAACCAGGTTAGCAAATTTCCTTTATCTTTGTGATGCAAATTGCATCATCTGCTATAATATATAGGCCCACATAGCTATGTTTGTCTGAATGTGTCCACCACTGGGTCTATAAGGTATGCAGATCAGCAAAAATGGTTAAAATCAATTCTAAGTTTTGAGAATTTTCTTAGTAATTCTTACTATAGGAAATATAAGAGTTATTGTTTAACTTTATGTATTTGAACACATTATTTAATAAGATTATGCTGAGTTCAGTTACTTTTCATAGAATATCTTTCATAGAAAGATACCTTTTCATAGAACATTCAATGGAAAATACTATCTACAATTTAAAAGGGACATCAGAGTTGTAATTTGAACCAGTTCTTACAGACTAATATTGCCTTTAAACCATAATACTACCCATTATACCGGAAAGCAAAATTCTGTGATATACTTGAAGAACAAAAACATGTAATTTTCTTAAAGCAGATATGATGAGGCCTGAATTTCATATACTTCTAGCATATTGACTTTTTTTAAAAACAGAATTTATTGTCTAAATATTGGGAAGCTCTAGGGGAATTTAAAGCCATTAAAGACTTCAGGTAAATAATATAGTTAAGGAGCTTGCCACTTTGGATTGCTTTACAGAAGAATTGGAATCTTATCAGGATCTTACAAGACGAAGATAATGTAAATAGAAACAGTATGAAGGCCAGGCTATTTTAGATAGGCCAGGTAGGAGGCATGAGAAATAAAATATCAGATTTGCGTGGAAATGAGGCTGGAGAGGTCAGGGGAGGCCAGGTGCTATAGGACCTGGAATGACAGTCTGTAATATTTTTGCATTCAGTCATTCAAACAATATTCAACACTCTCTGGTTCTAGGAACTGCCTTGACAGGAAGTGCTACAGCGAAAAAAGCCTGTCAAGCCCTTGTGTTTATGTACCTGGCAATCTAATGAGGAAGGCAGTGGAGAGTCACAGTAGAATAAATGCCTGTGAGGACAAAGATTTCAGCTCTAATAGTATTAAGAAACTAGGTTAATACGATGAATCCACTTAGTATACTGGACTGACTCAGAGATCACGTCAGTTTGAGAAATCAGGGAAGCCTGGGCTGCCATGTGAGTGGGGGAGGAGGAGAGAGTGTGAAGATCAGGAAAGGCCTTGTAGGCAGAGGTTACACTGCATGTAAAAGGACTGAGGTAGCTGAAGCTCAGCTTCATCCTGCAAGAAACCAAAAGCCTGTGGAAGTGGGACAGGAGAGGGCAGGGTGGTGGGCACAGTGGAGAGTTGGTGTCGTAGGAAAAGTAGACTTCTGTCAGCCTGCAGGACTGGAGGAAGGGAATTTAACAAGGGGGTAGGGTTGGTTTCTTTCACGGGTACTAATCTTTATTAATAGTTATATAGCACTTATTGGAGAGACATAAATCCTACACTTAGGGAAATCAAAGAAAGAGGAATAAAACTTCAATAATTATCATAAAGGATGCATTTACTAAATACCTATTATGTACCATACACTGCTAGATAGTCTGCTGATAAAATCATAAGTAAGATCCAGGAACTCCTCTTAAGAAACTTAAAATACAGTGTGTGGGGAGCTGTGCAGGAAAAAGGAGGGGACAGATCTATGTGGGTAGATGAGGGTTAGGAAGGTTTTGAACTAAGGTTTGTAGGATAAATAGAAGTTCATTGGGCAGGAATATAGAAGTCAGGGTGCTCCCAGGAGAAAAAGCAACAAGTGAAGACTTCCAGGGCCATGAGGATAGTTCAGAGGAGGACAGCACACAAGGCACTGGATTCATGATTTCTGGAGTGGAGAAAATAGTCAATAGTGGTGTATCTTGGCCAGCTTTCCATTGCTGTAACAAACACTTGAAATAAACCAACTTGTAAGGAGGAAAGGTTTCTTTTGGTTCACGGTTTTGGTCTGTGGTTGATTGGTGGCTTTGCTTTGGAGCTGTGGTTGATTGGTGGCTTTGCTTTGGAGCTGTGGTGAGGTGGAACATCATGGTGGAGGTTGTATAGTAAAGGAAATTGCTCACCTCATGGCAACCAAAAGACAGAGAGGAAGAGGAGGGATTCTGGTCCCAATCTGCACTGGAAGGATACACCCCCAGTGGCCCACTTCCGCTAGGCACCTAAAGGTCCCACTACCTCCCAACAGGACTTTTAATACATGAAACTTCAGGAGACACTTACCCAAAGCACAATAGAGAGGATAAAGGTGGGTTAAGAGACTAAATCAGTTAGATGTGGAAAGACTATATCCCACATTAAGGTGTTTGTATTTGTATCTTGAAGTGATTGTAAGAATACAGTCAGGGAAATGATATAAACAGACTTGTATTTTATAAAAGATTCTGTGACAACAATGCAAAAGGAAGAATTAAAGGGAACAGTAAGTGGAGTCGGGAGACCAACAAGGAGGTTGCTGGGAGAATCAGTGCAAAATACCAGCCTCCACTGTCAGTTATGGAAAATGAGTCGTCTTTGTCCCTTGAAGGGAGAGAACAGGCTGCTGCTTAAAGCAGCACATCCAGAAAGGCCCAGAAAGGCTTGGGCTTTTTCTCTGTTTGCTTTGTTAGTTGAGGAGTGAATATATTGTGACAAATGAAATGTATCTGTGTGCTTAAAGGGCAGAGCCAGGTGAGCAGAAGAAGCAGAGATCAAGGTCCTCCAGGGGAAAACCCAGAGACCAAGGAGCTGTGCAGACAGCAGGGGAAGAAGGTTGTGAGGGAGGCAGGTCATAATTGCGGAGGAATTAGCCTTGACTGTGAGGAAACGTTAAAGAAACTATAAGGACTCAGATACAAAATACTAAGCTTTTTTAAAGTTTTCTAATATAGTTTAAAATCCACTGTCAAGTAGCTGGTGACAAGAGCTAGTGAAGGTGTCTTAATAGTAAAGAATTAATGTCAAAACTGGCTTAAGTATAATAATGAAAAGAAACATTCAAATGTTTGCTTCTATGTCACTTTAATGTATCCATTCAGAAAATAAAGTTTCCTCCACCTGCAGGTAGCAAAAAAAGAGCTTTGTGTTTGGAGAATGAATTTGCCCTTCTGAGAAACAAACCAAGAAATGAGATTATAGAGGGAAGACACAGCTAACTATTGCCGTAGCCACTATTTATTCTTTCGGTCAGTGTGCTATAGCCTCAGTTACAGCAAATGCATAATTGTATTTCTGATTTTCACATATACTGTGTTAATCACTTTCCCGTTGCTGGGACAAGATACCCAACCTCTAATTTAAAAGAGAAGAGGTTTATTTTTGCTTATTGTTTTCAGAGGATCCAGTCTATGGTTAATTGGCTCCAGAACAGACAGTGGCATGGCAGAAGGTCATGGCAAGGGAAAGCTGCTCACCCTACAGCAGCCAGGAAGCAGAGAAAGAAAGGAGAGAGGAGTTGCTAGTACAAGATTATATACTTCCAGTTCAAACCTCCAGTGACCTGTCCTCTCTGACCAGGCCCCACCTCTGAACATGAGACTTTCAGGGAACATTTTACATATAAATCATAATATACAGTTTCCAAGTTTTTGAAGTACAGCCAGGCAACCTTCTGTAGGACACTCTTGTCCATACTAAACCATGCTAACACTACTGCCGTCCTGCCAAAACATGTTTCCTGTCCATCATCAACCTATTGTATCTGCAAGGGCATTTCTATTTTAGCTTCTGAATTACTTCCTTGTGAGGTAAAGTATGAGGCAAATTATTAAAAGACAATTGGAAGTCATTAATATCAACTAGAAATAGATTTGAACTACCATATGTATCTTTAAAGTGACAGAATACTTATTATAGCAGTTTTCATTTCTGCACAGATGAATTGCTGAAAGTGTTTTTATTTTAATTATTTGCCAGAACAAGCTGTTTAGTAAATTAAAAATTCATAAATGCAAGGCTTTGTGTGTTTATATAGAATAGATACACCACCATTTTATCTAAATGTTTTCACATTTCTCCGTAACAGCTTATTCGTCGCTCTAGTCTCAAAGGTTGGCACTGTGTACTGAGAACATTGTCTTACCCCTGTTCTTGCATATGGTGTTTGTCTTGGCTTACCAAGTCTTTTTCAATGAATTGTCAAAAAATGTTACAGCTGGGCTTTTCCTAGTATTGAGTTTTCTAAATTGTTCTTTGAAAAAAGGAAAAAGCAACATCTATTCTTGTTTGGCATATGATCTAGTAAGTATAATTTATTTCACAAGTAAACAAACACAATTATTCTGTTTGCAATTATTAAAAGCAATGTAACACATTTATACCCAGGGGGTTGGTTTTGGCAGTTACTATATCAGTTTGAAACATAGATAAGACCGGGAAAGAAAGAACTCTTAGTACTAAAGTTTTTTGAATAATGAAGTGCCCTTTGATTTTTCTAACAATGAGATAAAGGTTGACTCCTGACACTTTAGAGAAGTCATTTTTGGCTCAAAATGTATTTTTTTATATAACTTTGAATTGTTTGTGTCTGACCTTTGTTTCCCCCAGTTTGACTCACTTTGATCTTTTTTGTTTCAAACATAATACATAGTCTCAGTTCTTCTTGAGCTATAATGAAAATATGAATTATTATCACCAAGTATTGATTATTTTTCTTTTCTTCAGATAGTGGCTATAAAAATAAAATCATAGGAGTAACATTTAAAATGTGACATATTTAGAGTCCAAACAGAAATTGGATATTATGTATTACTTTTAGATCATTTTTGTTTTACAGTAGTATTTGACAAGTAACTTATTTCTTATATTTCTATAAATACTTAAAACTGGCATTAAGAATATAATCATATAAACAACGATCATTTTTTAATCCCCATAGAATCCTTCTCTCTCAGAAAGACTTAAGAACAAATGCTTTTTATTATTATGTTAGAGCTCAGCAGAATGATCTATTTTGTACTGAACTGAGAGCCAAAGACCAAAGTGCTTAGTGACATTTTCATTGCACTGAACAAAAGCATTAGCTGGTCTGTCTATATCACTTAAAACCGGCAGCA